CAGGGAAGGGCTCCAAAGGCCAGTTGATGAAGCAGTTCAAGAAGACGAGGCAGGCACAGCCGGCCCAAACCAGAAGGATGGAGATGAATGTGGCACCCAGATCATAGATCACCTACAGGCAGGAAGATGGGACGCACACAAAAACATCATAATGGAGAATCAATAACACACTCTCCAGTTGCAGGGTTATTCCTTCTGAGTTAATATTGCCCTTTAGGAAAATCTTTCAGTCATGGATGAGGACACATGGATGTTTAAAGTAAATCAAGAATCAGCCACAGTAAGTGAGTGACTGTAAGTTACCTTGATGCCAGGGAAAGTGACAGCAGAGGAAGCATAGGATCCAATCATCAGGGCAATGAAGGTCGACCTCAGATCTCCAAACATGTTGGGCAGCTGTGAAGAGAGCAGACAGATCAGTTTACACATTTAACTGCAAGACCAAGTTCATTTAAATGCATAAAATGTCCACAGACTCATAAGAAGCAAAGCAGTCAAGCTTGACCTCTTTATGTCACCTAACTATGATTTACATTATCAAAAACTAGCGGCCAGGGGCTTAAAGGAGGACAAAAAATAATCAATAATCCATAGCATGCAGAAACTGCGAAACAAAAACAAAGATAAAACAGCTTTCTCGTTATCTGTGTTATAGATGAAGGCTTTCAAGTGTGAAAAGTGCCCAGTAGGAGGCGACTCCTCTCATTGTAAAAACTAATCTGGATCTTTAGAAATCAAATGCAAAACAGCCATCTACTCGCTTGAAAAATAAACTTACCAAACATTTTCCTATTATCTGTAAGGGCTCAGTCGCTACTTTCAAGTTGTCTGCTTCCAAATGACAGTCCCATATAAAGCAAAACAGAAGATAAAGCAGAGTAAGGTGTGACTACCCTGTGACTAGTAACTACTACATGCGTGTGCAATGCCCTGAACTATTCCCCGTGATCCACCACTCAAGTACATTCAGGCAGGCATGCCTCTTTACAGCAATATAATACGTGTTTCTATAGAGCTCGTGCTCAGCCCTGTCGTCCACGTTCAGTTTGTAAAGACAGATGATCAAAATGCTGAACTGTTCATGTCTTCTGCTGCAAATGAAAGTTTTTACTGACAGCACACCATGAATCTGTTTTCACTGTGAGTAATATTAGCTCATGTGGGCTAATCTCAGCAAACCGCTATGCTACATTTTAGCATTTGCTACTTTATACTTGAATTGGTGCCTGAGGAAACAGGCTGTACTGTTCAGGAAAAGTTACAGCATTGAACTAAACTCACATGTATCACAGCCCATTAACCTACAGCAGTGGAGCTGCTGCAGCCAAAATGACATCTATTACCCATCTATAATTGGATTAGCTTCATTTCTGCTCTGTGGACAGCATATTAGGTTGCGCAATAATCTTTGTTGTCATATTTTGTCCTTCAATCCACTTAGACCTGCAAACGGCCACTGACTGTGAAAGAATGCAGCTCACTGCATACAAATGGCGAATAGTTTAATCTGCTGCTCACAAATATTGACTGGTGATAGTCTTGTCCCCACCAAGTATTTGCACACTCTGTACTGCCTACATTGATGAGTTTTTGTTACGAGATCTGCAGAAAAGCAGAGACAAAAAAAGCTCGGGTCTTGCATAATGGCACTCAGCTCTTGACGAGAGATAAGTGTACGCCCTGTTCTTTTACTAGGTAACTTCAGAGTGTAAACAGCCGTCTTGAGGAAGTGAAAAACAGTGTGAACATGAGAGCATGGCTGACTGGTCTGATGTAGGTCAGAGTTCATCTGTGCCATCTGGATTCAAAGTGCTATATAGGAGAGAGGAAATCAAACTCTAGAGTCAAAAGCATTGAAAGGAAGCTCC